GGATGGCCGGAGCGGCAGGATTTCGATGACCGGACTAACAAACCGGATACCAGGCTTAGGTTCCGCCCTGAGGAGGCCAACAATTTTTGATACCACCGCAAGAATTTGGCTATTGACCAAAAAGGAAGCAGTACCTCCGGGCTCAACAATAATCCAATCACATCCATTAGGACCTAAAAGGAAGTACCACTCAAATTTACACGGGATCCTCTTCTACACACACACACACACAAACACAGACAATATTCGTATTCCCAATGAGCCACCATAACCGCATTAAGAGCAACCGGGTTTATTTTTGAGCCGACGTACCACTTCCTCGGAAGTTGGCACAATGCAACTAATCATCTAGGTTCTCTAGACAGAGACTTGGGGTAAAGTTCAACTGATTTCAAAGGGACTTACCCCTAAGTAAGTGTCCTTAGTACTGCGGTCCTGTCGGAGCCAACCGTGTCGGTTTAATTGTTCATTAACCGTGGATCAGGCAGTGCCCTCAGAAAGAGGCCAGTAGAAATAAATACCGGGGGACAATTTAGTTATTAAAGAAAGGAAGAAAGAAAATCACGCCCTAGAAAGTTGGAAAAAAGAACCAACATGCAATCAATCTGACAAAACATCACTTTGTTTCTCTAGAACCCAGTTCACAAGGCTAAACTGCCTCTAGGTGAGGAAGGCCAAGCACACGCCTGCACTTAAAGCCTTAAAACCATTTAATTGCAAATACTATACATTTGTGGGGTGTAGGTGCACCTATGTCCATATTTAGAGACATAGAGAACTACGGGAACAGCCACGCACCTCGTGGTGCTGTTGCTTTAAAGAAAACCCACACTTGAGTGAAGTTGGGTTGTAATGATCCAGAAACCACTTATTTTGAAATAAGACTGGGTCTAGTCGGATGTCATCAAGCCTTCTCTAGAGAAACTACATTGTTTTTTTTAAAAAAATGTGTGTGGGTTTTGGGATTTTTTTTGGTTTGGACTTTTTATGGCCAAGTAAGTTAGTGTTTAGAATCAGAGCCTTGAGAAGCACAAGTTATCAAGAAAACCAGAGAGATTTTTCTAGTACTTTGTTAGTTTTCAGTAAGTTTCTGCAGATTTGGGTAGCCTCCAGGCAGGTGTAAAAAGTTCCCAGGCCTTGGCACATGGGTGCCAGGATAAGCTGTACCAGAATACCAAGCCCAGCCTTTTAAAAAATCTATCTATACTTATGGCCCCTTCTCCTATCCAACTATGCCAACTACCTGAGTTACACCAGCAAAGTCAGTCAAAAGATTAGGCATATATTTCATTCCAAAACACTCATGAAGTAAGAAAGAAGGACCGCAAAAGGAAAACTAGATTCTATATATTTCAAAGAGCTGTGTCACCACTCATTATTTTTTCTGTTTTTTTTTCCTTATCTCTCAAATGGAAAATAAAAGATATGCCAATAAGTCGAGCAAACTATAAAAGTCTTGTGTATTTCCATTTTATGTAGATAATAAAATATTACTTTAACATAAATATATAAGGATCTCTGCGCTTTTATTTTTTTCCCCACAAGCACATCCAAATGTACCAAAAAACAAAGAATTTCTTCAAAGAGACTGAACCAAAAAAATTACATCCCATATAGTTTTTTGTTTCTTTGTTTGTTCACCTACTCATTTAAAGCTACAGAAAAAACAGTTTCCAGAACCTGTTTGCTTCAAAAGAAATAAATATACATTGAGGCAGGCCACTTTAAAAAATGATACGAAAATATTTCCCTGGGTAGCATTTAAAAGAAAGAAAGAAAGAAAGAAAAATAGACAAACAAAACATTTAAACTATTTCTGCATTTCAAAGGACAAATATTAAACATATATACAGAGTGGTAAGGTTTGCTTGGTAACTTCTCTTTGAAATTTTAAGTAAACCTATCCAGGGTTTAGAAGAGGGTGTGCCTCCCCTAAACTCCCATTTTTGACCTTAATAAATTTCACTGGCCCCCTTTTGCCACATCCTCTGCCTTCAACCTGAATATGGTTTTCAAAAGAGTTTGTCCTCCCCAACCACAATTACCAGCAGCTACAGTGCTCTTAATAGAACTCCATGACTATACCATTTTTGAAGGAGGAGAAAAAAGAAAACCTCGCAACCTTGTAAAAATAGAATAAAGGCCAATGAAGAGGCTTCCTAGAAAACTCTATTTGCCTTCAGAAGGGAGGGAAGGGAGAGAGAAAAATCTGTTACCAGGCTGGCATTTGGAAAACAATACGACCAAAGAATAAAATATTAAATCCCACCTATCTACTCCAATATTCATCTGAAAGTTTCTCTGTGAGAACACTTAATCGGCCTCAGAAGTCTTAAGCATTCTGTTAGGTAAACGTGGTTACAATTATTTTTTAAAAGTTACAGACAACCCCACTTTTTGTGTGTGCTGAGTAGATGTTTCGAAATGTGGATTGGTCACTATCACAGTTTCAAGGCTTACACCATCACCCAATATAGGATATAACATACGGTTTCGAATTCTTCTTCCTGTCCCTTTTCCCTTTCTAGAGTTTTTCTTTTTCTTTTTTCTCTCTTTTGTCTTTCTCTTTCTTTTTTTTTAAAAGGGAGGCCTGGGAAGTTACGTTTTTTTTCTTCTTCTATCAAGAAAATATTATCCATTAAAATGACTACTAAGGAAAGGAAGAAGAAAAGGAGGGATTGAAAATGGCATTTTGGTTGTTTTGTTTTCACTTCACTTGGCTCTTTTGAGAGAAAGAGGGAAAAAAAAGGTGAGGGACGGAATTAAATTGGTCTTTTTTTCATGCATCACATCATTCTGAAATCTTAAAAGAAGAAAAAAAAAGCTGTGGGATGTGCTGAAAATCTAAGAATAAATCTTGCAGAGAAATCCCACCCACCCCTGCATATGGGCACAACAACCCCTGGTTCTCCATTAGGAACTGGATTTCAAAGGAATCCTCATAGATTTATTTGGAAGTGAGTCCCATCGAGTTCAATAGCAATAAGCCTTCCTACCTTTTTCAGCTTCAACCCCATGGATTTTAATGAAAGTAATAATTGCTTAAAATTGAAAGTGCGTTTTGTATAATCCATATCTTCACTAAACTCCCACAGGGATGAGTAGATCCAGGCTTGCAGGCAATGACAGCTGTTCCTAGACCACTTTCGCTACAGGAGGATTTAATGAACATGATACAAAAAAAAGGAGTCCTACCTAAGGAGGGGTGGGGTGTAGACTCCGGAAAGTCTTACCTTCTTCAGTAAAACAAACAAAAACAAAGGAGACTATATCAAGACAAGATCACAGCCTGAAGCTGTAACTCTCAGCACCATACATCAAGAGTATTGGAACTCACTTCCAAGGGAGTCTTCCTGTACACCAGGAGGAAGGTTTGGGACACAGATCTCCCCCATTCAGAAAAAATGTCACCGTACATGTCCTAGGGCAGGATTATGCTGGACACTCAAGGTATACAGAGAACTTTCTGTACAGGACCTATGAAGCTAATCATTAATCTCTTTCTGTCTGTCTGTCTGTCTTTCTCTCTCTTTCCATTCAGCCTCCCGTTTCCCATCCGCAAGATCTCATCCCACTTTCAGTTTCGTTCAGAGTTCAGCTCTCCTGGAAAGTTTGGCTAGGTGTCACTCAGCTCTTAGCCCATCCACACCATGTATATTATTCCTCGTGTCACCTTTTTATCCAGTAGGCCTTAATTCACCCAAATGGCTCGTCTAGCCTTCATGAATATTCTCCATTCTCCATGTACTAATCTAGAGTCTCCCAGTCTATGCCACCCTTTCCCTCCTTCATTCATGCACATCTTTCCCCCAACACACTCACTCGGACACACACACACACAGGCTTCTCCTTGTCTCTGAATAATTCCCAGAGCTGCATTTCTGGAAAGGGGCAGCAGTATCTTCCCACCCCCTCTTCTCTGTCATCTTACACTTCCATCAAGATAAAATTAAGACTAAAAGAGCCGGTCTTCCCCACTCTGGAGGCTAATGAGAGCAGATAGAGCAAATTAAACGTGACCTCCATTGAAGGTGGCTCCCGAAACTTATAATCCACACAAAGAGGAAAGCAAAGGCTGCACGGAATGGGGGGGGGGAGGGAGGGAAACGTCCCACCGCTGGGCAGCGCTCAGTGTCGGAAAATGCAAGTCATTTCCCCGACAAGGCATGAAAGGGAGATGCAACGTGCAAACTTCTGTTTACTTGCAGTGCAAATTCACGGAGTTTCCTTTTCTAAAGGGCCTGTCTCCCCTCTAACAGCACTTGCCTACTCCTTATTCTAGTATTCTCCCCCCCTCGGGAAAGGTAAAGTGTATTCAAGCTCCCCCGAAGTAGTTCATAGCAAGTAGCCCGCCCGGCTAACTTTTTTCGTCTCTACGGGAGGGGAGGATGGCTTTGTACAGCCCCCTTAACATATGCTTGGAAGGAGGCGGGGAAGAAAGAGAGAGAAAGAGGAAGGGGTTAAGGAAGTGGCAGGCGCAGGCATGCACTCGTCTTTTTTTACACACGCACGCACGCATACACATGCACAGGAACACACACACACACACACACACACAAGCGCTCCTCCATATACTCACTGCACTTCATTGTCTGGTTACTCGCCTGTAAAGGTCAAAACACCCCATTCACAATTACACACTTTGCTACCGTTTCAAGGATAGTTCAATGCAGGCTCCTTCCTTCCTTCCTTTTTTTGTTTTGTCTGCTTTTTGTTTTGCTTTGTTTAAAGGGGGAGAAGGGGGCAAAACAATCACAAGGGTTGGAGGAGCCGAGGGTGAGAGGGAGGGGGCCAGGGGTCGGTCGCCCCCCCTGTTTTGTCTTTGTTTTGCTTTGTTTAAAGGGGGAGAAGGGGGCAAAACAATCACAAGGGTTGGAGGAGCCGAGGGTGAGAGGGAGGGGGCCAGGGGTCGGTCGCCCCCCCCGGGTCCCCCCTGCTCCTCCTCCTCCTCCTCCTCCTCCCCCCCCCCGGCGCGGCGTTCACTGCACAGGAGTCTGTACCCCGTGGTGCGGCGGCGGCGTGTCCCTGCTGGCCCCATACACGTCCTCGGCTCCCGGCAGAGTCCCTCCCGGGGGAGTCATGCGTTTCTCTTTCTGTCTCCTGTTACAAAACCACACGCGGACCACCTCTTTCTCGAGCTGGAGGCTGTCCGCCAGCGAGGTGATCTCCTGGGCAGAGGGCTTGGGGCACTTGAGGAAATGGCTCTCGAGGGCGCCCTTGACGCTCACCTCGATGGAGGTGCGCTTTTTCCGCTTGCGCCCCTGCGCGGCGATCTTGTCTATGCTGGTGGGGCTGCCGGACGAGGAGTCCGCCTCCTCGAGCCACTTGTTCAACAAAGGCTTCAACTTGCACATGTTCTTGAAGCTGAGCTGCAGGGCCTCGAACCTGCAGATGGTGGTCTGCGAGAAGACGTTGCCGTAGAGGGTGCCCAAGGCCAAGCCCACGTCCGCTTGGGTAAATCCCAGTTTGATCCGCCGCTGCTTGAACTGCTTGGCGAACTGCTCCAGGTCGTCCGAGGTCGGCGTGTCCTCGTCCGAGTGCGCCTCGTGGTGGTGGTGCGGGTGGTGATGCGGCGGCGGCTGCTGCCCGTGCGGATGCTGCTGCTGCTGCTGCTGCGCGAGGTGGTCCGGGTGGTGCGGGGGCGGCGGCGGCGGCGGC